AGGCTAGCCTGAGGTGAAGGTTTGTTATAACCGAGAGGCAAGCCTCCTTCCTGAGAAATCAGCAAGATGTCCTCATGAATGAAAGGTCAATCGATCGTGTTTGGACATAATACACTTGTGATGTTTGCCCGTGGTCAACCAATCAATGGCAGAAGACTGGACAGTGTCAAGGATTGATCAAGCAGGCTGTTTGATTGGAAAGGAGAATAAGAGAACGTGTCTCAGAGTATAGTCAGCCAGCTCAGGGACAGAAGTCATCTGATCAATGACTGGGGGTTGTAGCGGAGCAGGCTGATCACCTATTTCAGTCTGATCTTTAGACAAGTGCATGTAAACCAGGCCACTTGTGATCATGTATAACTTCATGACATATTGATATTGCAGTATTTTGTGGCGTGCCTTGCTTCAATAAAAAAAATTGGGTATAGCCTGTCATTGGGACAGACTTGGGTTATTGATATCCAGAGTAAATCTAGACCAGGGAAGGTAGGAATAAAAGCCTACACCCTCCACAAACACCACTACCTCTGCACTCTTCCACACACTGAATTAGAATTGTCATCTTTGTTTGTGAATCTCTTGAAGGCCTGGGTCCATCTCACTTGTGCAACCTCCTCCAATGTATCCCAAACGTGTTCTTCTCCTTACCAGTATGGTCTTCTGTATCTATCCACTGGCATAGTGCCTTCATCTTGCTGTATGCAAATTGCTGCTATATTTGCCTATAAAGCAACAATGCAAAACTTCAAAAGTAATAATTTGGTTTCAAAGTGTTTTGGTACGTTCAAAAGATGGCAGAATCCAAATTAAAACAAGGTATTTTATTTGATGATGCTAATACTAGAATGGCTGAGAGATGTCCATTTTCCCTGCTGCCTTGTTTCTGTCCCTAACCAGATAAAAACATCACTTGCTACTTTGAATGATGGGTATTTTACTCTCTTCCACTTTGCTGCAGTAACAGGAAGCAAGGGAATCTTATTTGAAGGTAAAGCAATCCTTTACTCTCTATTGGTATTTTAAGATAAAAAGTTAAAAAGTTTAATTGATTCAGAGGACAAAGTAGAACAAAGAAAGAACAAAGAACACCACAGCACAGGAACAGGCCCTTCGGCCCTCCAAGCCTGCGCCAACACATTTTGCCTTTCCATACTAAAACTGTCCTCACTTACAGGATCCGTACCCCACTATTCCCTTCCTATTCATGTATTCGTCCAGGTGCTTCTTGACTGCTGATATTGTGTCTGCTTCCACCGCCTCCTCTGGCAGCATGTTCCAAGCGCTCACACGCTTTGTGTGAAAAACTTGCCTCGCACATCTCTTTTAAACTACTTCCCCTTGCACCTTCAACCTGTGTCCCCTAGTAATTGACCCCTGCACTCTGAGGAAAAGCCTCATACTTTCCACTTTATCCATGCCATTCACAATCTTCTAAGCTTCTATCAGGTCACCCACTCAATCTCCTGCATTCCAGTGAAAACAAACCCAGTCTATCCAAACTTTCTTCATAGTTAAAATTCCCCATACTGGGCAACATCCTGGTAAACTTTTCTGTACTCTTTCCAAAGCATCCATATCATTCTGGCAGTGTGGTGACCAGAACTGTACGTAATATTCCAAGTGTGACCTAACTGAAGTTCTATAAAGCTGCAGCATAACTTGTCTATCCTTATACTCAATGCCCCTTCCAATGAAGACAAGTATTGCCATAGGACTTTTTTACTACCTTATCTACCTGCGTTGCTGCCTTCAATGGACCTGCACACCCAGGTCCATCTGCATATCAATACTCCTAAGGATTCTACTATTTACTATAATACCTTTGAGTCATTTCCCTTGTTTTCCTTCATTGGATATAAAATAGAACCTAAAAAGAACCCCAGGTCTCAAGTTTAATTATTCATACCTGACCTTAACTATGGCAAGAAGGTGAAAGGGAACTTACATAAGGCCAATGCTTTGTAAACCTATTGCCTTCTGATGTATCCCCATCTTATTCAGCTGTTGTGAATCAGCATATGGGAAACCTGCAGGAGGAGACAGGATCAGTTTCAAATGTATATCAGGTCTGAAATATCATCAGGACCTAAACTGCAATGTCAACCACAAATATTATTGGGAGTGGATGGGGGTGGAATTGTTGCCCTTCACCCATTAAAGCTGTTAGAAGTCGGATCTTCTGCTAGTAAAGGTACAGGAGGTAAATTTTAAAATTTTATTTTTGATTTCCCTGTATGCCAGAAGGGTACCTCTAGGCCTCTCGTGGAAGCTTTGGACCCTACTTGCTCTGTAAGGATCTTTAGCAATCAACATCTCTGTGTTTGGCATGAGAACAAAATTACTTCAGTTTAGAGAGCATTTGGCTTGGCCTGACCTGACTCTCTGTCAGGAACTAATATGGCATTCAATGGTAAAAAGTGGAAGAAAGCAATTTTATGGCTATGGGATGAGGGGAAATTTCTGATCAATGTAATTGGAGGTAGCACTATAAAGAGGTATGTCAAATAGTACTCTTGCAACCTTCAGCACTAATTACTTTGCCCAGTAAGAAAGTGTGAACTGATAATGTGTGATTGAGGAAAGCCAGGCACTTGGGACTTGAAAGATCAGGGCAATTAACAGGGTATCTTCCAGACACATTGCAATGCAAGGGTTGGAAAACGCACAGCACAGGGTGAAGGAAGAGAGTTAGAGAGGGTGAATTCAATGTCAAATCAGAGGCAGAGTGAGAAATAATGATAAAGAAAGATTAGATTAAGGGAGATAAAATGATGAAACAGAAAAAACATGTAGGAAAAAACACAAATTAGATTTTAAAAAATTCCCGTTTTAAAATCTCCACAAATAATTTGGAACTTGAAGGCTTTCAGAGAAAGTTTTCCAGACTAATCTTTGGAATGGAGCTACAGTCCTGTAAGGAAATGTTGGGCAGCCTAGACTTGTATTTTCTGGAGTTTAGAAGATTAAGAGGTGATTAGTTTGAAACATGAAACATCCTGAGGGGTCTTGACAGAGTAGATATGGAGAATCTAGAACTAGAGGCCACTATTGAAAAATCAGGGGGTCCCATTTAAAACAGAGATTAGGTGAGGAATTTTCTCTCAGAGCTGTGGGTCTTTGGAACTCTTTTCCTGAAAAGCTGGTGGAAGCAGAGTATATGGATATTTTAAAGGCAAAGGTAGATAGATTCTTATCAAGCAGGGTGTTGGGACTGTATTAGAGGTAGGTCAGGAATGCAGATTTGAGATTACAACCAGATCAGCCACGATCTTATCGAATAGCAGAGCAGGCTTGATGGGCCAAGTGGCCTAGCTCTGTGTCTCATTCATAAGGTCAGATGTAACTCCAGAGTTAAATTTCAGTCTCATTGAGGGTTATTGGTAATCATTAAACTTATCACGCCATTGAAATGGTACTTGTAATTACTCCCCTAAATACCTGCAGTGAGTTCATAGCTCATCAACTCCACAACATTCAGAACATGTCGATGGTGTAGCTGTCAGCAAGATACTGTTTTCGTAAAGACAGTAGCAGAGGGACACAATATGGACAGCACTTTCTAGATATTTGCGTTGAACTATGCGATATCCCCCTCAATTAAAGTCACTGTAATGTCTGTAAATAAATAATGGCAAATATTTTCATTGTTAAGTTGTTATTTTGTCTCCAGAAACTGGTCCAATCCCAATAAGGCTGATTCCTGGGATAATGGAATTGAATTATCAAGGATGTCTAAACATGTTAGGCCCTTATTCATTAGGATTTAGAAAAATGAGGGGTGATCTATTGAAACATACATGAGTTTGAGGGATTTTGACAGGGTAGGTGTTGAGATGCTTCCACTAGTGGGGAGTCATAGTTCCAGGATAAGGGGACATTCATTCAAAACTGAGATGCAAAGGGATTTCTTCTCCCAGCGGGAAGTGGAAAGCTGGAATTCTCTATGGCAGAGAGTTGTGGATGCTAGATTGCTGAAAGTATTTAAATAAAAGGTAGATCTTTGAAATATCAGGGATCAAAGTCTAAGTGCCGCTGTCACAAAAGACGATTGAGGCCTGGGGCAGATTGGCCATGATCTTATGGTATGGCACAATAAGCTTGAGGGGCTAAATAGCCTACTCCTGTTCCTATTTTTTGTGTTCTTATGTCTATAAAGTGTCTCTACTAGGGGTATCAAAATATCATTGTACATTTATTGCCATATGTTAGTAGAAGAATAATTTCCTTAAGTATTTTTGTCATACAAGTGGAGCCCTCAATTACCGGTTTAAGAGCAGAATCAGGGATCCAATATTAGTTTATTTAAGCCAGTAGGATCTCTCAATTAGGGCCATGATGTTTTGGTACTGGAGGGAATTTTAAATGGGGAACAACAAACAACCACACAGGGGGACTTGGATCAAATAAAATGCACCAGATTAAGTTGTGAGGACAGATCATAAGAATTAGAACTGTTTTCTCTCCAATTCAGAAGGTTATAGGATGATCTGATCGAAGTTTTCAAGAAATTAATGGGAAATTGTTTAGGGATTCTAGAAGTAGGGGCATAGTCTGAGAATTACAGCCAGGCCATTCAGGAGAAATGTTAGGAAGCACTTCTACACACAAAGGATGGTAGATGTTTGGAACTCTCGTCCACAAATGGCATGCTAGATCAATTACTAATTTTAAGTTTGAGATAGATAATATTTTGTTAAGCAAAGGTATTAAGGAATATGGGCCAACGGCAGGTAAAAGGAATTAGGTCACTATCAGCCACGACCTCATTGAATGATGGAACAGGCCTGAGGGGCTGAATGGTCTAGTCCTGTTCCTATGCGATATAGAATTTATTTTTTAAAAACTTTGTCCCTGTCCTCCGTCTTGAAGCCAGAGCACAGATTCAGTATTTACATTTGTCCTCCCCAGCTGATCCTTGCGCTGTAGAGCTACTGTTCCCGCCCCTTTCTCGGTGCAGTTTCACCGAGTGCTGATTGGAGCCAGGAGCCGCCAGATGAGTGGCGTGAGCAGGACTGAGCTCCGGAGAGGAGGAGAGAGAGCGGAGCGTCATATTGACAGCGACATGCTAGCAGAGCTCAGTGTGCAATGGATTGTCTGTCGGTACGTATGTGCATATTGAGAGAATGCACACATGCATTTAAACAAGTATTAAAAGCATTAAACACCAGGAGCAAAAGAAAATAAAATCCTGCATTTCGCAATCAATCCATGCATTTATGGCTGAATTATGTTGAAGCAGGATTTTTTTTGTTAACAATACAAACTCAGGAAATGACCGAAGATGCACTTGCAAACGGTCGGATAAAACAAGCCGTGCACGGGTGCTGTTTGGAGTGGTTTGGCATATATATTTATTATGTGGGAAAGATACAATTGTACCAGGTTTCTCCCGCCTCCTCCGCCGGGTTTAGGGACTCCCTCTGCCTCTTCTCCAGCTCCAGAGAAGGGGAAACGGGAGAGGCAGACAGATACGGAGAGTAAGGATTGGGGAGGAGGGGAGGAGG